CCGACAAAAATCAGGTTCTCAAAGGATTTTTGGGAAATTTTCAACATCGCTCGGGTTAGGCGTCTTCTAATGATGGCAAAACAGGCAACTGTCTATATACTTCAGTTGGGGAGATGCTAATTTTTAAGCAGGCGAGCGCAGTTGACTGACAACATTCATTATGCGGGTCTCATTTAAAAAGCCGGCAAAAATCAGGTTCTCCATGGATTTTTGTGAAATTTTCAACATCGCTCGGGGCCAGCACCTGCTAACGATGACAAAAAACGCAACGTTGAATGTGTTTTAGTGTGGGAGATGCGAATTTTTAACCACGCGAACGCAATTGACTGAAAACATGAATTTTGTTGGTCACATTCGCAATGCCGACAAAAATGAGGATGCCAACGGATTTTTTGGAAATTTGCAACATCGCTAGAATTGAGCGTCTCCTAATGACAGTAAAACAGACAACTGTGCAGATGCTTTAGTTGGGGAGATGCGAATTTTTAAACACGGAATCGCAATTGACTGAAGACCTAAATTTTGTAGCTCACATTCACAATGCCGCCAAAAATCAGTTTACCTCTGGATTTTTGTGAAATTTTCAACATTGCTCGGTGCAAGCACCAGCTAACGACGAAAAAAAAACGCAACGTTCAATGTGTTTTAGTGTGGGAGATGCGAATTTTTAACCACGCGAACGCAATTGACTGAAGACATGAATTTTGTTGGTAACATTCACAATGCTGCCAAAAATCAGGTTTCCCCTGGATTTTTGGGAAATTTTCAACATCGATCGGATTAAGCGTCCCATAATTATGGTAAAACAGGAACCTGTCCAAATCCTTTAGTTGGGGAGGTGCGAATTTTTAGGCAGGCGAGCGCAGTTGACTGACAACATTGATTGTGTGGGTTACATTTAAAGAGCCGGCAAAAATCAGGTTTCCTATGGATTTTTCGGAAATTTTCAACATCGCTCGGGATAAGCGTCTCCTAATGACGGTAAAACAAAAAACTGTCCAAATGCTTTAGTTGGGGAGAAGCAAATTTTTAAACAGGCGAGCGCAGTTGACTGACTACACTAATTTTGTGGGTCACATTCACAATGCCGCTAAAACTCAGGTTTCTTATGGATTTTTTTTAAATTTTCAACATCGCTTGACACAAGCACCCACTAATGACGGCAAAAAACACAACTTTGAATGTGCTTTAGTCTGGGAAATGCGAATTTTTAACCACGCGAACGCAATTGACTGATGACATGAATTTTGTTGGCAACATTCACAATGCCGCCAAAAATCAGGTTTTCCCTAGATTTTTCGGAAATTTTCAACATCGCTCGGGGTAAGCGTCTCCTAATGACTGCAAAACAGGAAACTGTCCAAATACTTTAGTTGGGGAGAAGCGAATTTTTAAGCAGGCGAGCGCAGTTGACTGACAACATTGATTGTGTGGGTCTCATTTAAAAAGCCGGCAAAAATCAGGTTCCTCATGGATTTTTGTGAAATTTTCAACATCGCTCGGGGCCAGCACCTGCTAACGATGACAAAAACCGCAACTTTCAATGTGCTTTAGTCTGAGAGATGCGAATTTTTAACCACGCGAACGAAATTGACTGGAAACATGAAATTTGTCGGTTGCATTCAGATTG